AAACCCTTGCTAAGAACTGAAATTTCAGAATCAGAAAGAGGTAAATCTTCGGGAATGGTGACAACGGAATGACTGAAGACATGAACTAACTTACAGCACTTACACGGCACGACATTCCGTAACATTAAAATGGCTTCCATTGTCTTCCAGTATCTCATCCAATCACACGGATAAAGTATGATACGATACGGCTGCAGTATCTACTAAGGAGGCAGGTGTATGGAAATGTCAAAAGCGACAATGCGTGTGGCACAAGATGAGACTCCGTTTTTATTGATAGAATCAAATTTTTAATTTAGCTTCAGTGTTAGCCTGTGCAAAATCTAACTCTTCTGCCTCTCGCGTTACCAACTGACATTAGCGATTTGATTGTTGTTCAGGGAATCTGCTAAAAGAAACAGTCCTGCTCTTCAGTTAAAGCTGGTTCGACCGTCCCTTAGATGCCCTGTGATTCTTCCTGTGGGCGAATACGAGTCACCCTCTTTGCATAACCAATCCAAAAGCATGCTTGAGGCAAGAAAACAAGTTTGGAATTCTCTTAGTAGAGTGCAAACCATATATCCGTGAAATAGCACAACAACTAAATCGCACTAAACACAAGTATTTCTTTCGTTTTCAATTGCCCTATTTCACTATGACGTCACTGCTTGTTTATGTGGGGATAGAATCGCCAAATCCAATAGAAAATTCAACAAAATTTGCTCCTAGCGAAACAGTTTGATCTAAAATGGCCTGGTTTTCAGATATAATATGTATTAATATGTACTAAAAAATATTTTGAGCGTTTGCTGGCTATTCTACTTCTCTTCGGCGTGGATTGATACGGTTTTTAGAACAATTTTCGGTGGATTTGCGTTGATTTGACCCCCTCCGACGACCATGATCCTTTGCGTTAAAACAATAGATTGTTTTGATGTGACGTCATAGTGAAATAAGGCAATTGTTTCATTGGTATGCTATCTAGTGACTTTTTTACGTATGTATGGTACGCACTCCCTGTGTTTTGTACTCTAAATACTCAATAGTTAGTAATATATCCTCACTGAAGCCATTATCACGTCGCAGTATGATTAAGTTATGGGGCGAGATCCGCGACGATGATGAGGCAAACAGCAAGAATAGGGAAAACGAGAACACCACCGCCACCAGACTTAGGGGTGGGTGGGTGGGGAAAAATTCGTACTTCGAAGGTCCAAACGACGTTATGCAATGAGTCATGTGTGTTGACTTAATTTATACTGCTTGGTCATAATTTATTCAGTGAGAATAGTCCTACTAATTATCTACTTTATCTCACAAGGGTCAAAATTTCTTTTGTTCAGATTCTAAAGTCCCATGGCATGGAATGCAAATACTTTGACATTCCCAAATGCGATCACTTCTCCATCTTATCGAAACTGACCAGCGCTGAGTTTCAGCTTTCAAAGGTAAAACCTACTTTATCTACAGAAAATTGCGTTCCAAGCAACTAAACTATTTCCCAGCCTTCCTTCCTCTCACTCTCCTCTTAGTTTATTTTATTTCATTTTTTTCCACTTTTTACAATTGCAACTAGTTATGGGTAAATACGCACAAATGAAAAAACTGGTTGAGGGAAATATTGAACAAGACAAAAGTCCCGAATAAAGTTCCTCCAACATAAACATTTTACAAATACTGAATACTAATGATAAAAAAAACACACACAAAAAAGCCAGCAATACTGATATATATACATATTCAAATGGTGCAAATCCTATAAGCTACGAACAATACGTGGTAGTTCAGGGGCGGCGGAAGCTGAAAATCTTTGGGGGGGCACTTGCAAAAAAACACAACAATAACTTAATAACAGTAATAAAAATCGAATCTATGCATTTATATTTCATGTGAACCAATTTGTTGTGATAGTCCAGGCCCCCCAAAACATTTCGGGGGGGGGGGGGGCACATGCCCCGTACCCCCCGGTTCCGCCGCCCCTGTAGTTCATTCATGAGCGGTTTTTAGAACAGATATTTCAGGTTCTAGTTCTGTCGATGTCAAAATGTCAAAGTCGGTTCAAAGACCCAGGTTCCCTCCTCTCTCCCATGCCAGGCCCTTTCAGACCCTTTCCATATGCCACTACAACACAGACACACACCGAGAAAGCAGAAACCTTCCCCAGAAAAGGGAAACCTTCAAGCGCACGCTGATATACATCACTACGCTGTATTTATTTTGCGATGGCTTGCGCTTGCCAGTTTGGAGACCCTTTGCTCGAGAATTTTGAGCTCATATAAACGTTTTTCGCTTTTTTGTAGGAGTTGTACCAAATGTTAACTGAGAAACATTAGTGAGACATTGGACAGCCAAGTTCTACCAGCGACTGCTAACTTAACTGTGCAAAAACTGTGCAGAAAGTTTCTATTGTTTAATACACTAATATGGCTTGAGTGAAAAYGCCCTATACAAGCTTATACACGAGATTGTGGGAGTACAAAATTGAAGGGGAGCTCAACTTCTCTCTGTCACCCAGTATCCATCACCCAGTATCCATCACTGATTACAACAGAACTTTGTATCCTTCCAAGCCATCTTGGGTACATTTTTCTTGTCATGCCTTTATCCAAGCCATCTGGGGTAAATCTCAATCCAAGCCATCTCACGCCCTTTAATTCCTTATTCCTATGCGTCCACTATGGTCTATGATAATTTTTAACGAATTTTTCTGATGCGTCCATCCAATACATCTCGTGTATCTTATTCTGATGCGTCCATCCATTGCAATTCAGGGTGGGGTGGGTTGATAGGGGGGAGCTTATTGTTACTCACCACACCTAAATCAATAAAACTGCGTCTATTATAAACCATTGTTTCCACCTTGTCGTAAATGCCTTGATTTTTGAGAATAGGATTTTCTTTCCATGAAAACAGTTTGCAGATTTGTAACCGCTTTATCCTCTCCCAGTGAACGTTTGCCTCAGATCTCCTCGACAATATTATCACAGGAAGCCCAAGCAAAGACCAGAAGTATAAAGGTTAAAACTCATGGGAGTAGCTCCAAATCGCGTACAGAGAGAAAAAGAATAGCAATAAAAATTTAAATGGAAAAATAAGTAAGCTAACTACAAAAAAATATTCTTGCAATTTATACAACCACAAAGGTTACCTTGCTTGGGCTTCCTGTGCATAACGTTCGACCCAAATTTGACCTGAGAATCTTACTGGAGTAGAAGGGAAGGAGTAGAGTAAATACGGCATATAACACGGACGAATGCGTTTTTCAGTTCGTTTAATGATGTCTAGTGCAGTCCGTGCTTATGATTACCTGGTTATAGGCGGTGGGTCAGGAGGAATAGCAAGTGCACGAAGAGCTGCTGAGTTTGGCATTCGAAGTGCTGTTGTCGAACATGGACCCCTTGGGGGAACTTGTGTAAGTTTGTTCATGTATTCATAAGTTTGTTCATGTATTCATGCTTTACGTAAGAGAGATATAGGCTTACTCAAGGCTCGTGGAGTATGATCAATCGTTGATAATTTTGATAGGGCAAAGATATGCAATGTTTCTGACACGTTTGAATATGGAGTCCCGAGGGAGGTGTAGAGAGGGAGTTTACAGTACGAGTTTCAAAATATTTTATAGTAAATGGTTAAGTTTAGCTGAGCAAATAAAGATTATGATTCTTAGCTTGTAGTTATTTACTGTTTTTTGGAGCGCTGTTATAATATGCAATCGCTATACTAAGGGGATTTCAATAATTTCAAAAAGACAGCGAAGAGAGGTGACTAAGAAATTTTGATTGTAAGAGTGAATCAAATCATGCTCATGCAAGCAGCAGCTATATACTGCAGCCCTCATAGTGTGCTAGCATCAACTACTGTACCATGCACATTGAACTTATTTGGCTGTAAAAATTCAGGTTTTTTTCGTTGTAGTTGCTCACTTTTTCCATAAAGTATTTCCGAGTCAAAGGATTAATGAGTGAAAGTTTAATAAAACTGCTTTGATCTCAGCTATCAGAATATGTTGTGCACCAGTGCTTCTTGATTATTTGCATTAAAATTAATACATCTTTATCCTTTGCCCACTTGTTACGCAAGCAGATTGGAATCTGAGATGTAGTAAACAAAATATGAGGTGGGAGGGGAGGGAGGGGGAGAGCCTCTCTACCTCTGTTTCCTGAGAAGAAAAAATAGTCATATGACTAATGTTTGTTTTTGGGGTTCGCTAGTATATTATTATGCAATTTAAAAAAATTATTATTAGATTTTTTTTTATAAACCTCAGGCTATATAAAATTGTATGTATCAATGCAATAATACTAATTCAAAATAACTTTTCAGTTGAGACATTGAAGGACTTGCTGATCTTCATATCTATACACTACACCCTCTGGTGATTTTTATACTCCCCCACGCACTAACAACAACACAATTGCAGTTTAGGGACTAGTTTCGTCCGTTTATTAGGACCTTTTCAACCTAACTGTAAATTCTCATTTTATCTACATAGGTCAATGTTGGATGTGTCCCTAAAAAGGTATGCTTGTCATTAATATTAACAGTATAAAATTTCATAAATCAATTGATGAAAATATGTTAACCTTTTGGTGCTACATTATTTAGGTAAACAAATTTTGTATCTGCAATTCTCTAGAATTGGGATTCCTTGGGTATCCCCATTACTGATTTCTATTCACCCCAATGGTAGTCTCCCTCGCATCCGTTTTTAGTGTCGGTCGTCATGTAAGGACGACCGACACTAAAAACGGATGCGAGGGAGACTACCCCAATGGACCCTTCTCTGATTTATTGTGGATGCAAGGCTAACATAAAAATTGAAAAGGAATCACACTCTTTCTAGATGGAATTTGTGGCATTTCTTTTGTATTTCCGTGTAAACCTCACATTCAAGATAACTTTGAGAAGGGTTTTATATATCCTTCACCTTTTTCTTGACCAACCAGAAGACCTTGATCTGTTCACTCTCAACCCCCAGAGCCCTGTCATTTAAACTGTGCATGCTTCTACAAAGTGCCAGAGGCACTGGGAAACTCTAAATCTCAAAAGCTGTGATTGGTAACAATATTTCTTTTTGCAAAAATAGATAGAAAAACCTTAACTTGCTAGCTCCCTTGCAATAAAGGATTATGATTGCATAGAGAGTTGAAAAAATGGCAGTGCAGCTGTAAAGCAAAAAAACAGCATTTTTCAGGAGTAAAGTAAAAAACCTTGATCAAGGAATCACCTGCGCTAGCTAAAAATTAAATTTGAGCATACACATGCATTATGAACCAGTTCACCACATTTCTGGCTATCGCAGACTAGTAGGGTCTCCTAGAGTCTTCATGGGATTTCATTAAGCATACACGGTTAGAATGACAGGTAAGTCAACAAGCCAGAAGACCTTCTGTAAGTTCATACCAGGATATGATCCACATGGATCCCAAAAATACAGTGTTGCATGCAAAGAGAGCTAAAACCTGTGTTTATAATGTTAAATCAATTTTGTGTTTATTCTGTTTGTTTTGTTTTTGTCTATTTAACTCATACAGATAATGTTCTTGACTGCAATGCATGCAGAGCAGCTTCCTGACTTGAAAGATTATGGCTTTGATGTCAATTATAACAGTTTTGCTTGGAAGTAAGGGAATTATATGAGGAAATAACATTTTTATTGGTGTTTCTAGAGAGTTTCTAGATCCCAATTAATATATAGGACAAACAGTGTTGAAGTGTAGCTATAGCATAAATTTCTACCATAGAACAACATTTGCTTCTTATTAGCTGTTTTATTTTTGTGTCAATATGCTGCTATGCCTTGATCTAAAACTAAATCAGCCATGCATTATTGAAAAAATAGAAAACACGTGCGCATGCTGGTGTGCAGTTATAAAGCAGGAGGGGGTTGGCAGCAGTTGCGTAGCAGAGTGCTTCTCAACACTTCTCGGGTGTTCTGCCAATCCCCAAGTGCTTTATAACTGCACGGCGCAGCATAGCAAGCGAGTTTTTTTATTTCTTTCATAAAATACAAATTATAACTGTTATTCTGGATAGGAATTATGCAACTGACAAAAGCGTGCTGTGTGCTCTCATAAAGCACACGCTCCCAACCAATCAGAACGCAAGATTCATTACAGTTATTTTATAAATATCATATGGCCAAGCACATTTTAATTCTCATGCCATGAGTGGCTGTGTGACGTGGGTACCTAATTGTTTATCAGGCATTTATAGAGTTTAGAACTATAATTATTGACAAAAACTGGTTCTATAGAGTTATTAATTCATCAAATATTTTGTAGGCAAGTAAAGGATAAAAGAGATGCTTATGTGAAGAAACTGAATGGGATTTATGAAAACAATCTTGATAAGGTGCACATATATTTATTTTAATCTTATCTATTATGCATGTGCAATAGACCCTTTGCATGTGATGTCAAAACATCTGGGGGACAAAACAAAAGAATTCCAATCTCCTGAGAATTGGAACCTATTGTTTTGTCCCTCAGATTGAGCTGCATTCCAAAGTGCTGCAAGGGGTCTTTACCAACACTAGAAATCGTCATTCACTAGTAATCTGACATTATTCACTAGAAATCGTCATTCACTAAATATCGTCAGCACTAGAAAGAGTACCTTTACTTTAATTAGTAGCCCTATGACACGAATATTCATTATGTCAGGTGTTATATAGGCCAAAAAAACTTTAGTTGAAAATTGACAAATTTACAGACATTTGTATGTGGACTTGGGGTATGCATTTTTATAGCTATTGCTGGTATAGATTATGTCACTGTTCATTAATATTTATTTGATAATAACTCTGTAATAATTATAAGCAGTTATAAATCTGGTAACTCTAAATCATGTTACCTATTCTGATTCTGTAAACTTATTTTATATATAGGCGAAGGTTGATTACGTCAGAGGCCATGCTTCATTCAATGCTGATGGTACTATTCAGATTGGCGATGAGGTGTATTCTGGTAAACATGTTCTTATCGCCGTTGGTGGGCACCCATCAGTCCCCAAAGTACCAGGTATGTTATCTATATATATCATCCCATAACATTGAAAATACACAGCCAATCAGAATAAGATTAGCTGTCGTATCTTTAATGTTATTGCACTTTTACTTCCCATCAGACATTGCAAGCTAGGTGTATTTTCCAATGGTGCATAAAATATAGTTATCTAAATAGCAATTCGATTACTTTACCTAACTTTGATCAACTGAAGGTTGTTTATTCAGGATATAAATAACATTTGAAATTTTCAAGAGGTATTCAAGGGATATCTACACTTGTGATTATGTGGGATTAACAGCCAACAATTAAAGTACAATGTTTTAATTTTCTTCAAGGTGCTGAATATGGAATAACAAGTGATGGATTTTTTGAACTTGATGAGCTGCCTAAGTATGGAATGTGCTGGATTGTGTAGTTCCAAAAATTATCCATTCTCCACCCCTCCCACCCCCCTCCATGAAGGAACCTCTTTAAGACCAGCCCACCTACCCCCAGAAATTCCAATTTTCTCCCATGCTAACTCTGCAAAAAAATTTCTTTCTCTGATCCCCCTCCCCCACTCCTTGGAAATTCCAAATTCCTCTGTTGGGGGGGGGGGGGGGAGGTTTATTTCTGGAACTATATGTTGTGCATTAATATTTCATATAGCATGGGGAAAATGGGTTATATATGGATTAAACTGATCTCATCCAGTTGGGCTACTAGACTATACCTGTAGTAGCATAATCAAAGAAATCTGAACCCTTCCTTGGTCTTTGTTATTTAGACCACAAAGTGGATCTTACTTCCAAGAGACTTTTCTGAACCTTGTTCCCATAAATCCATAGTTAACATTTATTTTGCATATGCAGTAAATATAAAAAAGTGCTTTTTTTTCTATACTGCAACAATAGATTTTCTTATGCTCAGCTTTACATTTAAGCACTTGAGAATAAACCAACTAAACAAAGGTTTTTTATTCTCACAAGAATAAGCATAGTGGCTGCGTGAGAAAGAAAGCCAATGGGTTATTTTACCAAGTCTTCCAAAATATACTTTCGTTTGATTAAACCATTTTTTTTCGTTACAGGAAAGTTGCAGTCGTAGGTGCTGGTTACATTGCTGTAGAACTAGCTGGTATACTGAATGCTTTAGGCTCTAAGGTGTCTCTCTTCATCAGGTACAGCAAGGTATGAACAACATTATGATAATGAAAACTCTTTTTATCAATGCATCAATGTCTTTGCATTCCTTGTTTATATCCAATGTTTTTACTAGGTACTCAGAAATTTTGACAGCATGTTGAGTGACAAACTCACAGAAGAGATTGTTGCTTCTGGCATAGATCTACAGACAAACATGGGGGTAAGTAGTAATCCACCTAGAACTTGGTATGTTATATTCATATCTGCTGTTTTTGTTGCTTCTGCTGCTGATGTTGCTGCTGATGTTGTTGTTGATGCTGCTGGTAATGCTGTTGCTGCTGTTGTTGTTGTTGCTGTTGTTGTCATACTGCAAACCTGGCTTTATTGCCAATCTAATGGCCATTGAGCTYGAGGCTGCACCAGATTTTACAGTTTTTTTATTAACTTTATAATTTGTTTAAATAATCTCTATTAATTCCCCAGTTAAATGAGATAACCAAAGATAGTTCTACTGGTCTGCTAACCATCCATGCTACAAACAACATTAAAAAGAGCAAAGAGGATCTTTCAGGATATGACTGTTTGTTATGGGCTGTAGGTCGAAACCCAAGCACTACAGATTTAGGGCTAGAAAAAGTGGTAAGTGGTATAAGCTCTTTATTTCAACCACTTTCTATTAGCCATTTGCTCTTAGGCATAACATTACTGCAGTTTTCCATACTTCTGTGAAATTGGTAGTCGTGAGCTGCACACTGAAATTTAAACTTTTCACTGCTGTCAATCAAAAATGATCAGTTGCTACCTTTTATATTCTTGATATATGGTGGCAGTGAAAATCCACTTTCAAAACAAGCTGTTAAGATGTAGGAGTTTGAAGAATATCAAAAAACCGTAGTAAGCCCTTTTTGAGCCTCCAAAAATTGCAGTTATAGAAGAAACTTTTTATGGCATTTACAATTCTAATGCATAACCACCATTACATGAATAAATTAGCTTGTTTGCTCTCTCCTGTGCTTCTAGGGATCTATTGATCTGTCTTGTGGGAGTTTGTTAGTTGAATCTTGACTGGCTTAACTTGACATTGTTCAATTACAGCTTATAAATGTGAATAAACGTGTACTTAACATATAACCATGTAGGTTCGTTGATTTCATCTCTCTTGCTGGGAAATAAAACGTTCCCAATGTATTAATGCCAGGAAATCGATAACTTTCAATAACTGAACTTGGATTTCTTTTTTTTTAGGGAATAGAAGTTGACAAGAAAGGCCATATTGTTGTCGATGAGGTAAGATCAAATTCCTTAAAATTTCTCTTATTTTTCAAAGGTTAATATTTCATTAATTCTTTGATTAGTTTGTTTAGAAATAAAAACCTCTGGCACATGAATGATGAAAAACCTGGTTTTAATTAAACTATAATTTTTGAGAACAAATTTGTAGTGGTTGAGATCATTCTTCACTTTTTTAGTTTCAGAACACCACCAGACCAACTGTTCATGCCCTTGGTGATGTATGTGGCAAGGCTCTCCTCACACCTGGTAAGAAACAGACTTTTTTCAATAATAAAATAAATCAAATCCAAGATTGCTTGATTATTGTTATATTAATTTTATTGTTATTTGTACATTTCTAGTTGGTGATTATTGACATTTTATACTAAATTTTATTTATATATTTAATTTGTGACTTAAATATATCTGATATTTAATATTTATTGACATGTTTGTTATGATACAATATCTTAAATTTATTGACATTGTCGTTCCCTTGAACAACCATTATTTTTTTCCTGATCACACCATAACATACCCTTCGAGCCGAATCTTCCTTTTACCTTCTCCACAGATGAGAAATAAAGGAGACTCCACAAGCAGGGTAGCCATAACATAGTGCCTAATTGAAGTTTTCTTTTCTTATGCAGTTGCCATAGCAGCAGGGCGTAAACTAGCTCACAGGTTATTCGATGGCAAGACAGACTACAAGCTTGACTACACTAATATTCCAACTGTGGTGTTCAGTCACCCTCCAATTGGAACTGTGGGCATGACAGAAGGTAAGTGATGGACTACTTTGACAATTTAATGCCCATCTTCAATTGCAAGGCATTATAAGTCACTCAGAGGACAAAACAAAAAGATGGTGAATTGCCAACTCCAACATATTTGAGAAATTCCCTCAGTTGTGGAACTGTCCATTTTTAAAATTTAACTCTTGTCAAATTGTCTTGTGTTGAACCGTAATTGTCAATCGAGGCTATTGTAACGAAGCTTCATTATTTGCCTCCTGGATGACCAATTATGCCTTGTGATAATGTAGTGTATTATGTAGTAAGAAAATTCACATTAATAAACTTAAAAAATAAAGTTTGCAAAGGATTCTGGTAGTGGTAGTATATAGTGGTGTAATTAATGCAAATAGGCTATCATAGTTTGTTTTTCCATTGCATTGCAGAAGAGGCTACAGCAAAGTACGGAAAAGAAAACCTTAAAATTTACACTTCAGCATTTGTAAACATGTACTATGCTATGTGTGAAAAGAAACACAAGACCTACATGAAGCTGATTTGTCTTCTTCCTGAGGAAAAGGTAGGGCTTGTTACCAACAGTTTACAGCACAAACGTTTAATCCATTAAACAGTACTACCAGTAGCTATGTACAGGGCTTAAAATAATGGCCAAACATCAGACAATGTCTGCCCATAATTGGAACTTGTCAGGTCAAATCTTCATCTTGCCAGCCATTTTGACTAGTAATGTTGAGCCACAAACTAGTTAAAATCAAGCTAAATCTAATTTGGCTTGTCATCATGACTGGAGACTCATTGGTCATTATTTTAAGTCCCAATTTAGTGCTAAATAGCACTTAACAATAATAGACTTTTAGTTTGTACTGTTTCTTGGATGAAGTGTTAGCACTCAACCCATGTATTGATATATAATAGATCTTTTTAGTTTGGTAGCAATGTTTTCCCATTTCAGACCGTGTCATTCTTGGAGTGATATTTCTTTGTTTAACGGTTGTGCATCAGAAGACACATGAATATGGATGCAACTCAAACAAACAATATTATTCTCAAGAGAATGACATGTAGTATGTACACTTTGGCCTTCTTTCCAGACATGAAGAACATCTGCAAAGGAGGCTATGTACACTTTTGATTGATGGCAAATAAAAAACCATTCCAAATTTAAACAATTTGAAACAGCCAAGTTTCTATGTGACTGAATATTGCTGCTATTAAAGGCTTCTCTTATAACATGTTTTACTTGTGTTTTGATGTTATCAGGTGATTGGTCTGCACATTCTTGGTCTTGCAGCTGACGAAATGTTACAAGGCTTTTCAGTGGCCATAAAAATGGGAGCAACGAAAAAGGATTTTGACAACTGTGTTGCTATTCATCCTACATCAGCAGAGGAACTGGTCACCCTGAGGTGATACTCTATATGTAGCATACTCATTGAATGCCTTCATTTTAATCTGCAATATATAGTGTATACTATGCCATGCACATCTTTGATAATGCCAATAAAATTTGTAAATTAAGGTTCTACTCCATTTTTCTCATTCTCATCAAGGTTGCCACCATGGTAATACACTTGACCCTCTGAGGTCTGGGATTCAATTCTTTCATGTATCATTACATGGATAGAGTTAAATAAGGGCTCTCCCTCGATTTGAGGGTTTTTCTCAATCTTTTCCTGGTTTTCCTCCCTCCACAAAATCTAACAAACAATTCTGATTAGATCTGTGAGCTAACTGTGCTCTAACTTTGATCAGCCCAGAGGTTGCTCAGGGTAAGGATAAAATTTGAAGGTTGGAACATATTCTCTAAATGAATTTGTTAAACTGTTATGCAAAAAGCTGAAATAAGAAATGTTGAGTTCCATATTCAGGCAGTAATCTAGATACTGCGATAGCATCCAAAGGCCATGGCTCTTAGTAAAAATAATTCATACTTATTACAGTGGGAATAAACTCCCCATAATCTACAAAGTCTGTAATAATGATATTAAACTTGTGAATCTTACTGTCGCACAAAGCTTTCAACCAGCCAGTGAAGTGAAAATTGCACCTGAGAGCCAGACATTCCTTCAGGGAACCTGACATATTTTGGATTACAGTTGATGTCTGGGGAGTTAGCACACCCTGTGTTACATGAAAACAACTGGCAGAAAGCTCAGACTTGAGGCATTTTTCATTCAAAAATTTCAACAACTCTTTCTTGTCAGAGACGTTAGCCCACGGAGAATTAAGGAAACTTGAAGGCCAGAAACATGGATAGCAAGCAGTTACATCAGAATTGTGGTAGAAAATGAGAACTTTTTCTTCATTTCCCCACATATCTTGTAAAGTGAAATTCATATTGTCATCGCCAGGTGCTCGCAAAATCTCAGCAAACATCCCAAGAAGGGTATCTGCTAGCCTTTGATGAGCCTCGCTATCCATATTGTAAAAATGGTTAAAATCAATGAAGACAATTTCTTTAGGGCGTTCGCTGACGAATCTCTTGATGTCTTCCAAGACTTCAAACACCGAGCATCCATAGAGACCATGGACAATTCTTAATTCATTGTCTTGTGGTCTAAAAGCAACTCTTAGGTCTAAATACCGAACCCCATTCATTAACTGTTCGTATATATTCAAAGTTTGTGTTATAGACCAGCTGCAGATAACAGATTTAGCCGGTCTTCCAAATACTGTGACGAGGTTCTGGATCGTTTGGGGCTCGTCTGGACCTACCTCGAGCGACTTGTCCAAGAAAAATGCCCCTGAATCGTGAGATCCTGGAATTACTAAATCATTCACTAGGCAGAGCTGTTTCTCATTTGGTAAATTTTCCATCCACCTTGAGTAATCGTTGTCCATTAGGTTAGAAACTTGCACAAAAGCCATGTTTTGCAGCTCATTTCCGTCTGTCGACCGGGATGCAGCCATCTTTGATTTGCTTTGCCCTTTTTGGTAATACGTTCATGTTCTATATACACCAAACTGCCAAATCGGACTATATATTTTTCTTGTATTTATGTGATTTGGCATCATTTGCTGTCATTGGGTGTCATTCCCCATCATTCGC